CGCTCTGAGTGACACAAACCAAAAACTTGTTCACAGAGATGAAAGAACTTTAATTAAATATAGTGAGAGTCAAAAAGTTATTTTACACTCAAAGTTCAAAATAATACAAAATCAACATCATCCCCTTTACAGTAGTTTCCTCTGTATTCCTCCTTCCCATCCGTGTACTGCTGTTAAAGTGTGTGAATGATGTGCACCGCTGTGCGCCTGGACACAGACAAGCCGTGATAAATGGTAATACCTTCGTCAGATAAGTGCTTTGGATCTTGCTTCCTTCAACAAAACTATTCACTCCCTCTTTTACATGTATTTATATATGAAGCTTACAACAGGAAAATGTCTCTTAAGTTTGAAGCATCACATTCTGCTCTCACAGGAAAACTGGCGACTCACAAACATGCTTACAGGCACTCTCACATGTATACGCAAACAGAAGAGTGGTCTCAGGGCCCTTCATTGACATAAAATAAACCCATGGCTCATTTTCTAGGGAAAGTGAAGGATGTAAAAAAGCAGGGAAAAAAGGCGAAACATTTCCTTCATCACTTTTCAGCCGTCACTGAGCAGTTTTGTCCCATCTTGAACTCCAATGCATGGAAGACAAACAGTTAATTGTGTGGATAAAATTAGAAATACAAAATCTAAATAAAGCGAGAAAAATTATGTTAAATTTAGCAAGAACGATACAACATAACAAAATGAAAATGTCCTCTTGCATCTGATTGAAAAAAAACATAAGACACACCATGGCTTATTTTAGTTGGTTTGAAATTAGTAGTGGGATTATGGCTTTTAACAAACAGACAATATAGTACAAACGAAATATGGTATTCTGACAACATTCAAACTCTTCAGGGTTTCAGCTGTTTTTCCTTGAACATTCTTTTTCTTGTTTTAAGACAATCGTTTTTCCATAGTTATGAAAATGTCCATTCTCTTGTCCAGGTTTAGGTTACCGAAAAAGAGAAATGGGCACTTAATGAGGCTCTAACGGTTTCCTAGTGTTACAAATTATTTTTCTTTACCACATGGATCCTTGTTGGGTTTTATTCCAAGTCAGGAATTACACCAACTTCATATAGTTTCCGTTGGTGGCGAAAACCATTCCATGAAACAATCAAATATTGACTTTTTGCTGCACATCTTAAAAGGTGCTTTTATTAGACCTGGCATATTGTGAAAAGGCAAACATGCTTTTGTTTGACTATGTGTGACAAGTCAAGACCATTCACACCGTGGCATAAGACTGTTAAAGCATTAATATTGCAAAAAAAAGGGGGATTTGGCAGAACTAACATAATCACAATTCAATTAAGACTGTTGAGCAGCTGGCTTCCTTGCATGAGACAAAAAATTTACATCTGCTTCACAAAGGTGATTTTTTTTTTTTGCACTAGGGCAGCATGTAAGACACATGAATGGTTAGTTGTCCTGATCATCAGAGGGAACCAAAAAGGCTACAGAAATACTAACACAGCAAACCAAAAAAAAAGAAGATAAAAGAATCTATCCGTTCAGACGAGGCTAATGGTTAAAAACAAAAATCCACATGCTCACACACATACAATGAAACCGGCAGCAGTCTTTTAAGATGTGTTCCACCTCTAACACGGGTGGTGCTTTCCAACTGTAAAACAAGAGATGCTAACAGGACCCGTTTTTGGGACAGATGGAATTACTGTAGGCACCCAATAATCCCACACCTGTGACAGAGGGGGACTGATTTGATGTATGGCAATTTTACTCTTTGTTTGTCATATCTGTCTCAAGGGGTCACGGGAAGAATCAGGCTCTAGGAATTTTACTCACGTCTCCAATTTGTATTTAGAGAAAGGCTCAATTACATGTTCAGTGACAGAAAACATACTGCGGGACATTGGAACAGCCTGCTGCAGCATCAGGTGGAGGCGGGAGGCCTCAAATAAATGCAGGAGGAGGACATCTCTGTCTGTCCGCTGTCCAGGAAAGCGTGATGAGGCTGTGGATTTGGCAAGGAGAGGTGAAAAGATGTGTTTGGCTTGTCTGTGTTGGCTGGATCTTCATCTCATCATCATTTTTGACTCATCTTCATATGGTCTTCACATTATATTCTTTCATTAAAGACAAAACTTCATAAATAAAAAAAAACCCTCATGTAGGTTACAGTTAAAAGCTGCACACGTTAACTGTTGCACAAAAAAAAAACAAAAGGAAAGAAAGAAATCCATCACTTAAAGGAGGAAGTGGATTCTCTCCAAAATAAATACACTTCTCGTGTCCTTGGAGAGTCATAATGCAGGAGGGTCCATTCTCCTATAAAAGCATTACGGTGTACAAAGTCTAAACAACTTGTTTCCTCGCAAACAGTCTTTTCTTCTTCTTGTGTTTTCCTTGAAGTTGTTTCGTGTTTAGAAAGGGCCTGAGTTGAGTTTGTTCCTTCAGATCAGGATGCCTGCTTCCATCCTTAGACCGGAGTCTGACTCTCACCAAATCCTCGGCAGGATTGGCAAGAGTGTGCTTGGTTCATCTCACACACATACACACAGTTAGACACTCACACCTTTACATGGGCGGGACGATCATTCCTGGGATTACTGTTGGATGGGGCGGGAGAGGCGGAGAACGAGAGAGAGACAGAAACGGGGAGAAGGGGGAAAGGGAGGAAAAAAAAACGTTTAAAACACAAGCCAAAGGTTTTGAACATCCTAAAAACGTTCACTTGTAAATAAATCTGCGAGTTTTCCCATCTGTAATGCTGTGCGACTGGGCCGACATTCTACAAACATCAATAGACAAATAAATCAAAACCAAGCAGAAAAGCATCACATCAGCTGGCCATTGTGGTCTCTCTCTCCCTCTCTCTCTCTTTTTCTCTCTCTCACACACACACACCATACTGCGCGGCAACAGTTGGTGTTATTTAACTGTGTGTTTGTACATGTGTCTGACAGTCTGCATCATGGCATGGGGATGGGTGTTGATGTGTGAGAAGCAGAGCCAAAGCCAATGTAACACACACAGTTATGTTTCCACGGCTACAGAGGTCACTCTTCTGGCATATGCACATATATATGACATATTTCGATTTAGGATCACAAAACTACAAAATAAATGAGGTAAATGTTCCAGTTTTTTCCCTGCTCCCTCTTTTCTCAGTTAATGCGAGCACACACAGCTGTCAGTGTTGATGGTTCTCCAGTATGATACCAGTGTGTGATCAGCCTGTGTGCATGCCAAAGGAAAATGTGTGTGTAGTAGAAAGTATGGTGTGTTTATTTCAGCTGTACTTTAGGGCTATATTTATGAGTTCCCACACCCCCACACATGCTCACTCCACACACACATACACACAAACACGCTCACACACGCACACACACACAAACACGCTCACACACAAACACACACACACACACACACACACACACACAAACACGCTCACACATGCACACGTACACACGGCAAAATAAAGTCAGATATGTTGAGAAATAAGTTCTCTGTGCCAGATGTCTGTTTTTCTCTTTGTAAATATCGAACTTCCTGCCTCTCTTCCCAGCCAATGAGAGGAGAGGGAGGAGTTACCAGGCAACTGAATGGCTAGAGCTGTAACATGAGATGAGAAGTGGGGTAGAGGAAGACAGACAATTGATGCTGAAAGAGAATTAAGATTGATTCAAACAAAGAGAGAAAAAAAATACAGAAAAAGGAGGAAGTTGTGGGTGAAAAAAATCTGAATTGTTATAAGGGGAGAGTAGGTGAAAATCAGCCAGATAGAAAGTTTGTTAGTTTGTCAAAGTCTCGAATGCATGCAGTTAACAGAGATGAAAGGAACAACAGCTGAGGGACATACTTCAGGTGAAGGCCAGGCCTTGTAGAGAGCTGGCTGTTGAGTACTTGCTAGAGTCCACAAATGTTTGATCTGGTAGAGAGAGGAAGACAAGTAGGAATAGAGAAATGGCACATAGTTAGTTAGGAAAGTTAGAAAAGTAAGGAGGGGAGATAAAGAGAAAAACATTAATCCAGCTTTTGGAATGTCACAAAATGAATATTTGCATAAAATTGTGAGTTGAGTTCTTTCACCCAATACGAGCTTCTTAAAAGATACAGAAAACACAGGACTAGATTTGACTTCACCACTCAGTATCAAAACAGATTTTGCTTTTATTTCATTGCTTTTCATGTAGATGATTTCCCAACAAACCATCTGCACTGGGTTTTGATGACAAAAGGTTTTACTCCAAATTATTTTTGAGTTTTATTGGAAGTGACGACAATGGGGCTGTCTGCTCAGGCTTTCTCAAAACACTATAGATAAAATCTTGATATGCCAAAAGTGAAAGCCGACTAAAAGCAGCCTGGGAAACAAATGTGGATGTCAGATGCTGATTTTACATGACTCCAGGATAGGTTCCATGACAGAGGGGATGTGATTGATTGCGTTTTTTTAGGGACATAACACACTCACTTTGTTTGAAATGGTCATATGCAAACATTTAAATAAAACCACTTTATGAATGGCACAGATTAATTGCATGTGTATCTTTTATGTATTTGTCCAATAGAAATAGTTTTGAATGTGATTCATACACGAACTTGTCTGTTTATTGTTTATTTTTGTATAAGGGTGCAAAGAATTGTATTTGCACTCAGTACCATCACATTGTTCAGGCTTTAATAAAAAAAGGGATTTCCCATGAAGAAAACCAACCAAGGTTTCTAAGGTTCAAAGCAGACTTAGAGTTAAATACTAAAATATAAGTAAGTGAGGTAATACTGTTTCAATTTGCTACTCAATCAGCTACTAATATTGGTCCAAAATATATACACTGTCAGATTCATACCATCTGAATCTTGTGGTAGTGTCAGAGTTAAATTCACTTTAGAAACCCTCACAAACATAAATCAAACACTGCTTATCAAGAGAGGTCAGTGAGCAGTTACAAAATAGGGAAGAAATAGGATGTATAGAGTTTCAGATTGAGAGGAAAGGTCATGGGATCATTAACGAATCATGAAAGCCTGCACTAAACGGTCCCCCCTGAAAGCATCTGCCGGGGAATTCTTCCCTCTGAGCTCCGTCCTCTGATAAAGTGGCATGCTGAATTACCTTGGAGTCCATTGCCATTGGCACTGGTGCAGGAGGGTGGTGGGGAGGATGAGGGCCTGACAACTGGAGCGAAGGCGGACTTCTGCTTAACGGCCGCTGATACCATGTTGGCCGGGGAGAAGGAAAAGACACCAGAAGAGGAGGAGCAGTTGGAGGGTAGAGAGGTGGAGGAGGCCATGGTGGGACTGGATGGAACAACTGGATGGAGAAAATGAATAAGTACAAAGAAAGGACAATAGGAATGAGTGAAAAAGGGAAAGAAAATAAACTAAAATTTATTTCAAAGTTATTTCAAATTAAATATGAATAACATCCATACGATCAGAAGGAGGTAAAGGAAATACTTATTTGAGTATAATGTGTTGTTCCAATACAAAGTTAGGTCTTGAAACACAGTAAATCGAGTCTCATAATGCTGTCAGTTGTCCTCCCAGGAGGCAGATGACAACTTAAAAATCTGCTTGTAGTTGCTGTTTTCCAGAATTACAAAGTTTTTTTGTTGTTGTCCCCCGTAATATTGCCTGTCCGGTGCATTTCGTCTGCCTCCTGAATGTTCAGGTCGTTTCTGCCTCCCTTGTCGAACGTGAGCGAAACTTCAGAAAACAAACACATCTCACATCTCTGCTTTTATTCATTCTCTTCTCTGTCTTCTCTTCTGCTCAGTGGAAAGACACAATTAACCAACAGAAAGAGAGGAGGTGTTGCTGTCAGATAAAAGGCAGCTAGGGAAGGAGGGATTAAATGGATGGAGGACAAAATGGAGCTCTGAGCTGTGTGCTGGTGATTGTTTTTGAAGACTCTGCTGCAGAAAGCCCCATGGGGAATCTCTAGCAGTAGATCTGAAGCGCTCATTTCCTCTGTGTGGGCTTTTCAAATGTGTGCAGTTGAGTATTTGAAAAGCACTGTTCTAACTGCAAAGGTACGATATGTTCCATATGCACTGTACAATATGTGGGCAGTGAGGAGGACCTGCCATGAAACCGGCGGTTTAACACATGTGCACTCACTAGCATAAGGCGAGTTGGCGGCGGAGCCGTTAAGGAAAGTAGGCGAGCCTCCAAGGTTGGTCATGCCGGTGTTGTTGGCGTAACCGTTCATGGTGCTTGTGACTGAGGTGTAGCTGGTCTGCTGAGGTGTGGAGCTGGGAACATAACCATGAGGCGACACACTGCTGCTGCTGCTGCGCACAAACCCTACAGTGAAGAGGAGGAGGAAGAAGAAGAAGAAGGGGATGAGGAGCACAGCTGATTAAAGGGATGCACACACATTCTTCTAAGATGCTACAAGCTTCACAGATGACAAAAAAACAAAAAAGTTGCCAAAAAATATTGTTTGTGCTGGCCAAACAGCAAGTGTCAAGTATTTAGATGAGAATTCTCAGTAGTGGCAGCGCTCTGTTCCTGTTCACTTCACAAAATCAAAATTTAGCAAAGTTGTTTAAAGAGATTTTAAATCTCTATCTCTATGTAAAAACATGAATAAATATATATATATATATATCTACACATCTTAATTGTGTCTACCCAATTAAGCAGTCTGACGACAGTGTGGTTCTAAACTCACCCTGATTGGCTTGAGCGGGCTCAGCCACGTTGACGGACAGCTGCCCGGTGAAGGAATTGACTCCCATCATGCCACTGTGAGAAGAGCCAGAGAGCTGGGTGTGCCCTCGTGGAACGCTGTAGAGAGCCTCTGCAATATCTGCTGCCCGTTTCAGAATGATCTCCTGCAGCAAGAGGAAAATATTCATATGGGAAATTATGATCCGGCATTTGCATTTCCAGTCGGCCTGCCTGACCATGCTTACAAGGGTAGCTCCATTTGCAAATGTAAATGTTTATATACCTGGTTATTATGAGGCAAGCCATAGAGGGCTTCCACCAAGTCTGCTGCTCTCTTCAGAATAACCTCCTGAGAAAGAAACACAAAGGGATTGGACATTGTGATTTAAATCAGTTGATGACTGAGGTTTCCTGTACGTCTTTTTGTCAAAAGGCACACCTCTTCACTTGTTAAAAAAAACAAAAAAAAAACACATGAAAGTTAGACAAAAAGACAAAAAAGAAATCTCATTCCTCCATCTTCCCCTCAATGAGCCGTCAGCCAACTTTCATTTCACCATCTCTTCCAGATAAACAAATTGCTCTTTAAAAGGCAGATAATCTGCCGTCACTTGAACGGCTTTTATGCTTCTTCATGACATCTTAAAGTGACGGGTATTTAAAATATACTTCACAGTCAACTGTAGTAACTGCAGACCCTTTGAATAGCGGCTCATTTAAGCCTACAGAGATCCAGTGCAATCTCCTTTGGTTCTGAATTACTTTGAAGCAACCAGTTATTTGGTTTGATTTTTCCAAAAGTACGACGAGAAAAACATGCCAACAGGGACATTATTTACTGTACAGCTTTCATTTTCATCCACCGTTTCAGTATGTTGTACCTGCTTCTTACTTTCTTGTCCAGTTTTTCACCACCCTGTCCGCCTCTTGGGCTCTCTCCATCTACCTTTGCTACTTTTCTCCACCAACTTCGTCATGCTGTTTTGCTACCATGTTGAGATTAGTCTCTGATCCTCCCCGAAGAGTCAACTCTCCACTGTTCTCATGCTCTGCATCGTTGTTATTGTTTCTCCTCTCTTCCGGTCCTGTCTGGGCGTGCACCCTGGGGTCTGAGGTGTCTTGTTTAACAGTTAATATGTTGTCGCTTTCGCAGGGCGAGGTGACAGAGAGAAAATTACTCCGGGCTTCGGAGTGTTAACCTGCAGTGTGTTATATGCTCCCACGCATACTTATGCCTCACTGCACATGTGCTTTCTTATGAGTTTGTGGCCGGGGGAAAATGCTGCCTTTCCATCAGTATGTGCATGTGAGTGCGGATATGAGGATATGGAAGGTCACAGTACCAGTCAGCAATTTTAGCGTGTCTGTCAAACCAATCTAAATTCAATCTTTTACACATTATCATTGCCATGCTGGCACTCTGTTAACCTCTCATTATTAGACTGGTGAACTGAGCCGTTCAAATACACCCCCCACACACACACACACACACATGCACACACTCCCCCACCACTCACACGCGGAAACTCGATCCTTTGGGTTGAAGTGGTTCCAGTAAGGCCAGTAGCTGATAAACGGGAAGGAAAGATGATCTTATGGTAACATCATCATTATCAAGTCTGCAGGCTTGTACTGCGACATCACTTAAAGCCTCTGGCTGCTACAATCGATGCACTTTGACTTTGTCTGTTTTTGTCTTTCAGTACACACACACCCATTTTGCCTAATTAATCTCTCACAGGTGGATCTGCCTGTAAATACAAAAGCCACATCAGATCAGTTCATTCTCAACAAAGATGATTGTGAGCATGTCCTGAGAATGCTTCAGTAAAAATCTAATTGCCCTCACTCACTGTGATTGTTACTGTAAAGTAATATTTGAATTCTTTGATTTTTGCTTGATTGTTAGGATTGCTCAACATCTATTCTATTAAGTGTCTATAGAAGATAGTTTGACAAACACTCACTTCTTAACTCCAAAATACTAAGATGGATATGAGAACAAATAGGTTGACTGAGAATCAGGCTGAAAACCAAGAGGTCAGTAAAAGAAAAGACACATCTGGGAGAAAGAATAGCCAGAGTTGTCAAGGTGCTTTTACTGCCTGAGTTATGAGCAGCTCTAATATGATAACCATACATTATCCACACACACACACACACACATGTTGGATGCATTAGGACCTGGAAACGCTGGGCTGAAAATCGGCGAATGTCACATGTGCATGTAATGTGCGTGCGCCAGGCCAGCGAAGAGATGACACACACATGACTTATTCCTCCCTAATGTTGGCACATTAGCCGTTTGATCTGCTTCTAATGTGCCATTAGGGATGCCTTACATGCAGGGTCACACCTCGCACAGAGATGATGTCATGCTTTACATGTGGGCTCACAGGGGGATCTTTTTCAGTTACACACATAAATACGTATTGACACGTGTGTACATGTCTTTTGTGGGGCATTGTCTCTCACTAACACGTTGTAGGATAGCCGCTTTAGATTTCAGTTCAATTCAATTAAGATCGGTTTAGTTTATGAGGCACCAAATCACCACAAATATCTTGTAAATACACCTCAAAAATAGAGCCCAATTGAAACCAATTGCAGTTTAATTCACTCTAATATAAGCAAATCCAATACTTAATTCTTAATTAGTCAATTTCAAGAACAATTTTTTAAAGTATCCTTGCTATGGAAAGGCAACATGGTTTGATCCATCCTCCCATTTAAACATTTACCAGGGAAAAAAACCTCTGGCAGAATCAGATATGATCTCCCTTTTTAGTGGTGAGGTGAATTCAATTGTATATCAGCCTAACACTCACACACACATGGACAGTACATAAACTGGATCGTTTCATATTCAGTTTCATGAAATGTGCTCATACATCACCGGGATTACTCATACTGAGGGTGGCGATGACATGGCTTCAGATACGTATGATATCATCGGTGCAGGTTGCATAGCGATGTCAGCTGAGTGAGTCATTAAAAGAAGTCACCATTCTTATGAGGGTGAAACACACTGGCCAGCCCTCTCCACCTGGACCTTCACTTTCACGAGCCTATCAAGTCCTTGGTCGATATTGGCTCATCAGCACAACTGTTCAATTTAAGAGAATTATGTTTTCAAATAAAAAAATAATAGTGATGCACAAATATGAATAACTATGTAGGATAACAACAGTCTTTTGACAGCCGTCATATAGTTGAGAGATTTTTTTCAACTAAAACTAAGATGGATAAATACAACATGATAAAAATAAGAATGCAGTAAGCAAAGAACAATTATGCCCCATAATTCAATATGTCACAGAATACACCAGCACAAGTAGCTGAACCGATCATTCTCTATGACATAATCCTCATGATTGTTTCCTTTTTCAGTCATTGTGGCGTAGATTTGTGTTTGGGATTATTTTCCTATTCCCTCATTCAGTTTCAGCCATGCTTGAGGAGGCTGACAGATGCCCATTTAACTCTAGAATGCAGGGGTAGAAAGAGAAGTCCACAGTGGACTCAGTGACATGGTCCTCAGATCTTATGGCTGTAAAACAAGCCCACACCTTCCCCCCTCCACTACAATGTTTGACTAATTTATCTGAAACAAATTGTAATTGTTCCATCGTTTTCTAATTATGTTGTCATAGATCTTTAACAAGCTTACCGAGGCTAATATGGGCCTAATATGTAGTTCTTGTATTTTGTTTGCAGTTTCACTGAGCACTACAATGTGAACTGTTTTCTACTTGTAGATAATCGTTCTTGTTACAAAACAAGCTTTTAACCATCCCAGATTGATGGGCAGCGGCAATTACTTCATGTAGATCCCTGCTGGTATGTTTGCTCCGTGCCATTGTGTAGACATACATCTCCAATACAGCTCAAAACTCTTTATAGAGGTGCGCACCTTGATGATCAATCTAATCAAGTGCATTGTATCAACAGGCCCTGGCAACTCCCTTCTTAAGAAATCTGAAAGTTTTCTGAAAGTTTTCTGAAAGTAGTTTTCTATATTCTGCCTCTGTATTCTGTTATTTTTCAATAAATTATTAGAGGCTGTAATATTTCATATGCTGAGGTTGCAAAAACAGTTGTAAAGAAGCGGCTGGGCTGTTTTTCTTTTTAGCCTAAAAGACTTGGTAAGGACTAGATCTTTACTTTGGCCCGATATGTATATCTTAGAATTTAAAGAGAGTCTACTTTCTATTTGTGGATGGATGGAAATACATCCAATTACTGCAAAGAAAACTGACATGTTCTGGGATCTTAGTGGATGCACCTACAATATTTGAGCAAATTCATAAATTCCTATTCAATTAAAATCCAAAGACCCTTATTCTTTCAGAGCTGTTCTTCTGAATGTTTTCTCCTGCAGTGAGGAAGAATTACAGGTCAAAGAGCAGTGATTCAGGCACATCTTGCTTCTTCACAGCCTATCGCCTCAACACATGATTATTGCAAAATTTCAATTTCTTTTAATTTTTTTATTTCCAACTCTATTACTTAACATTTTTAGTTTAGGAATATTTACTGTTAGGGTCAAGATTACTACATATGAAACGTTTGCAAAACCAAATGTGATGACATCTGGCAAAGTTCCTTAAAGATGGAATGTTTCTGAGAAGTTTTGAACAAGATATCTTTTGGAAAGAAAAAAAGTAATCAGGTTATAGGCTCGACTGTGTATGTGTCACAGTAACTCTAAATGCGCACGTGTGGATGGTTTTTTAAGAGATCGCAGTGACACAAACTGGCAGCTGAAACGTGTCCGTGTGTGTGTGGCCAGTGAAATCCCCTGAATGTTCACTGAACAATTATAGAATCGGCTGTCTGCTGGTAATCCTCTCACACACTCCACTGCCCCGTCTGTCTGTCCCCAGCACAGCGCTGCCAACTAACCCCTATAACTTCAATACATCCACAGTGCAACACTTGACCAGCAGCCAAGTGTGAGTGCTCGATGTTAACACACACTCGTCTCACACAAAATAAAAACAGATGAAACATTTCTGATTGCTCTTAATTGTTCTTAACTTAAATTGTTGCCATCAAGACATAAAGAAACCAACAGCGAAGCACACCAATGCATTCAGAGGAATCATCTGTTTAAAGGCTGTGTGTGATTTGGATGAAAGAGTTGTTTGCGAGTGAGCTGTTAGGCTCCGGAAAATGCAAACCAGACTGAAGATGCTAAACGATGACTCATCATCTTGCATATCTGAGAGATGAGCTGGGATGAAGTGATAAAGTGGGATTACAGTTTTATTTTGTTATTATTTGCCATTTAATGATTTCCTTTTCGGATTTCAACAGCTTTCTAAATTCTGCATTCGTTGGCATAAGCAAACTGCTGTTTCATTATTTCATGCTGCCCATATTTTAGCATTGATCTCATAAAAAAAGAAGTAATTATAAAAGTTACACTGTGGTTGACTCTGAGTAACCACCATTCACCCATTGGTGAAATCAAATACCTGATCACTGTATCTAAAATAGCTGTATGAGTTCTCATCGTACGTTTCCTGTAAATATCTTGTGTGACATCATGTTACTGATAATAAACTCGTCAATAAGATGAAAAACGATACATAACCATTTAAAAGGGCTTGGATTTAGGTTAGATGATATGAATATATGGCATTTACATCTGCTCATTGGTTTGGTTTTACTTTACAAGCACAAAGAACAACAAGAAAACTTCCAGCTGTTGCTCACTTAAAATTTAGCACAACTATATTAATTACTGACAAAAACTTGGTGAAAACATTATCCTTGCTATGGTCACTTGACTGCAGAAAAAGTTCATGTCCAATGTTTAAAGTTATAGCCTTATTAATATATCACCCAAAACTAATGAGTGCAAAAAAGGATGGCTGTAAGAAAAAGGAAGAGGGGTCAGGAAAGAATCTGAGTAAAGCTTTGTGGTCGGAGGATTTGGATACAAATAAGATGTTAGATTTGGCTTCAAGAATAGGGCCTCAAATTGGAGCTCCTTGGGGGGGCAATTAGTCAATAAATATACACTATTGGAGCACTGAAGGCCAACAGAGCCAAGGGACAACAATATCAGGGTTGAGTACCGAATGTGTAATTCAGCCCCCTAAAGAAGAAGGTGTAGTACCACTGTCCCATCCACCATTCTGACCACCACACACTCCTGCCTTGACGCATAAATTAGTTATCTGCTTTAGCACAGAACTTCTATTTTCAGAGTAGAAATAAACCCTTTCTTAGCTTATCTATTGTCATAATTGATAATAAATTAGTTTTTAACTTGTTACCACACACCTTTTAATTATTATCATTTAATTATAAGTCCTCCACAGTTGGAGTAATCAATTACCTTTATCAGAAGTATCTGTTTATTATCAAAATACCAATACCAAAGTTAACTGTCTATTTTTCATTGTCTTCTACAGTAAAATTAAGTTATCATGGCTTCATTCTACAAAAAAACACAGCCATGGTCAAGCCAAAAAAATGAAATAATGAAGTAAAACCAATCGATATAATGACTTCACTCACATTTTAGGTGTGAGGTTTGCTTGAGTGATGTGTTGAACACGTTCCCACGGTGATGATGCACATAACATGAAATTGCTAACATATGTGCAGGGTTCAGGGTGTTGGCAAGGCAGCGTTGACATCACAACATCATCACATCATGAGCAGCGCCCATTTTTTAATGATGTCACACCACAACCAGCCAATCCTGGATCAAATCCAGCAGGAAATACGAGCCAGTCAACAGCAGCTGTTTCCATGCTCATGACTCCGCCCTCCCACTTGCGCAAATACAAATTTCAACCATGTCACAAAACACGCGTATCACAAGGAAAGTCATCCTGCATGTTCAGATGACAGCGATTGATATCCAAGCCCAGCCCGCCGTTTGGTGCTAATTGTTTACATCTGCTCATCTTTTAAATGTCCTGGCTGATCAACAATTAATCCGATATGACTCTCATCTGGAAAACACACAAACATTCACTCTGTAAATGGGTGTTTCACAAATTCCGCATACTCAGAGTTCACAAGGAGGTAAATGCACAACCCACATGGTACTGGCAAAAACATGTTCTGTTTTGACAGATAAAACTAAACAGAATGCTGTTCTTAATGATCTGGTCATATAGGTATTAATTTGTGTCTCTTAGGTTACTCTCTGTTACTAAACCTATATTTGATCTTTTTAGATCAATAGTTTCCCTCTTAAATTTTTAACCAGAGTTTGGTTATTTGTTTTATAGTGTAGGAACTGGTTAGACCTGCAAAATAAAACAAGAAATTATTTTGGTACCTTTGGCAGCCTTTCGGGATCCCCAGGATGCCGAGGGATGACCTTCTGAAGCCTCTGGAAGCCGTAGTCAATGGTTGGTTCATTCAAAGCTGCAGAAGAAGGAGAAAAATAATCAAACTTGATGGAGCCAACTGTAGCTATGAATCTTTCTGCTGTAGCTTCATCACTTTATAGCTGATAGTATTCATTTATTGCTTCCCCACACAATGGTAGTAAGTTCACTTACTAGAAGGAAAATGTAAGACTCTTTAATTTCCAAATAATCCACTTTCAAGAGGCATATCTGGTTAGGATTAGTTGTCAACTAAGCATCCTCTAGAGCACAGCCATGTTGTGTTTTGTAGGGATGTTTTGGAAGCAAAGAGGTGATGAGGATATTTCCATAGTTGTAACGTAGCTGCCTGCTGCGTCTGCTGACAACAGTGAAATGAGTGAATGAAAAAAGAGGAGTACAAAGTGAAGGGAGCAGAAGAGTCCGGCGTTGAGTCCCTGTGGATTGACATGCCGCCTCTTTCAACAGCAAATAGCCCCATGATTCACTTTCATTGAAAGAAAATCTGTAGTGGTTGAAAGTATGTAAAGACTTTTTTTCTACAATTTGAGTTGCTTTATCAAACTCTTCTTTATTTGGCAGATTAAATATATTATGTTCTCTCAGCTCTGCACCACTTCCTATTTGCTCTTTCCAGAAACCTCTGTCATGTATTTCTTTCTGTTTTTTAGCTTTCTACCATGCAGAACATTGACCTTTGAGGCTTGCAAACAAAAGAAAGGATGACACCTAATTCCGAACATATGCCTTCAGGCACATCTATTATGATTCTATTGGATTTACATTTACCTATGATTTACCTATGATGCCTACATGACTTGATTCCAGTATCTCTTAAATGTAATATTTGTATCAATTTCCAAATCATAATAAATGACTAAGGGATTTATATGTTTTACTTTACCCTTCAGCCCTAAACCTCAGCCACTTGTCTTCTTTCTAAGTTTGACATTCCTTTTTTAACTATGTTATATATTGCAAAATGAATGGTCCTGTTACTGTCTTCTGACATATGGGCACATTTAACAGGTGATGTTGGAGAACCTCTTCCCATTTCGAGGGTAAAAGTGGGTCAGAAAATGAACAACCTGATCTGTCTGACCTCTGCCAGCTGGCAGATGTCCTTCTGTCTATGAGGTTTGCATTTGCTGAAAGATTAGCAGCTCCGGTTTGGCTGAGAAAATATAACAGAGGAAAATCATTTCTTGGCAATTATCACAAATGCCCTATTAAAGAAGACAGTGAAAAATGATATAATTAAGACCAAATTTCTTTACATTTTCTGACAACATTGAAAAAAAGAGTTTACAAATTAGTTAGGCCCAAATTAGAGGGTATGGTTTACATAATGTTATTAGATAATAAGTTAATCTGCAGAATATTTAACAGTTACACCTTACATTTTTTAAAGGTGTTCAATCTAATTCAATAAACGTAACGGTCTCCGATGGGAAAAGTGCGTTTGTATCAGTTTTATATCGAATGATAGTAGTCAATTAAAAAATCTGGTCAACCAAAACCTTTTGCAGTTGTTTAATGTATTTTGCAGAAAATGAGGATTAAACTAATTATGCTAAATGATTTAATTGACATGTTTGCATGAATAGCAGCGGCACTGTGATCAAGTTCAACCAACTAAATGTGAAATTCAAATCTGCAGATGCCGACAGACTGGGTGGAGTACCTAATGGCATCCAGAGCATTTGTATGCTAATGCCGATGCAAGTATCATCTAAAAAGGATTTAAAGAACTCTTTCTATCTCACTTTAATGTTCCAATTACTCCTCGTCTGCAGGCTTTATCCAATCAATATGTCAATCAAGTTGAGCTCTGAAAGCCATGCTAGTTAGAAAGAAAGGATTTAGTCCAAAGTGGGTCTGCTTTTGTGTTATTTATTGATATGTACTACACACCTGTCATCGACACTATTGAGCCCTTTAAGTAACTCTATGTGTGTATGAAAGGGAGGTGGAAAGTTGTGCTGGGTGAGTAGATGTAGGTGGGGAGCACAGGCTAAGTAAGTGTGAACAATGTCCAAGACTGCAGCTGCAGCGGTGATGTCTGGTACTTTCCACGTCGAGCTCTGATAAATTACTTGCAGCTGAACGTCCTTTGTTGTTTTGTAATTCCTTTAAAAAAGGAATTGTGTGAACACAGCTTGAGTGTGTGTGTGTTAGATATATGTCTGTTTTGTTATCACATCACACCCAAGATTCTGGTTTCAGTTAAGTCCTGAACTACTTAATTTGTTAGCAACATAACTCGTAAATTGCAAGCTGTAAAAAGTCTAGAAGTTAAGCTGTCACGGACAATATCTCCCCCTGCTTCAGGGAACCTTTCTGGGCACATAAAGATTGCTTTTATGATTATTATGAAGTAATAATATAATGACTAAGTGGTATTACGATACAGATCTGGAGTCTAGAAAAAAGAAGTTAACAATTAAAAAAAGTATAGATCTGATCTTATATCATAATCTATTAAACTGATTTTATGATGAAGCTGGTCGATATTTAAATTCAGTATGCTGATTTATTTCAGCTCAAATTAAATATGACTCCTCTGTGTCTATTAGACTATGCCTTTACTCAAACCTGTACAATTTATCAAAATAAAGGTGGTCTTTTTCCTTTACAAATGAGAGACATGACAAGATCGCTTGAATATCTTAACTTTCCCCTCAAATCATATGCTTGGAAAGCCTCTACTGAAAAATATAAAAATTCAAGTGAATCTTCTTTTTACTTGTTTAATTTTTGGGAAAAAACATGAAAATTTGTTATAAATCAGTCAAACAGTCTCAAATTAAAACAAAAGTTAACCTGAGATTAAATCTGAGAACATCTGAGGACAAAGACATCTTTTGAATCTTATGAAATAACATTTTGAAAAACTGACTTGGCAATCCATTTCACTTGTTTTAACCATGAACATGCTGATTTGTGGAGAATTTGGCCCTAAATTTGACAGCATTTTTGTTGCGAAAGACGGACCAAACAAATGAAATTCAGGTGCGAGAAGGGTGAAGTTTAGAGTTAAGAGGGAGATAGTGTGCGCGCAACAGTCCAAAAAAAGAAAGAAAGAAAAAAAAGAAAACTCTGTCATGGTTGAGAAAAACAAAAAATTACAAAAACAGCTGCCTAACAGTCGGCGGGATATCAACTGTCAGAATCAACTGCCAGTGTCAGATCCACAAGTCTCTGGAGACGTTTAACTGATGCCAACACTAATATAACACGCACATGCACGTATATATCACAAGATGATTTAAAGCGGTTTTAAAGCCTTAGCCTAGAAGCATAATCCAAACTGGCTCTTTATTAATGGAGGAACATACATTCAAAATCGGAATTGTGTGCGAATGTTTGCGTCCCTTTTGAGACAATAAGATCAAGTTCCCCTCGTGAATCTTTCTGAACAGAGACAAAAGGAGGATTAGAGCATCAGAACTTGTCTAATTAATAACACATCAGCTCCAAAAGGCATCGGTGACACCAGCTGAGGAGCGCTCACCACTGAAACACTAGCATCTCCAAACATCAAACGCTGGGAGGACGGTGTGTGCCAAAAAAACTTTATGATGAGCGCCTGCTTGTGCAAACGTGGCCTTATACCAGAGAGAAGCTATTCTCTGCAAATGCATGCGTTTCATATTAGCGCAGTATCTCTGATTTTCTTTCCTGTGATGTTCTGCTGTTAAAGAATGCATAAAACGTGAGACATATACGACTCTGCTTCAGCTGAGTTCACACATTGTTCACAACATAAAGGACACTCCAGCAGAAGGGATAACACTAAGGCTTGAACCTGTTTCATCTCGGCAAATTCTGCCTCCCTGCTGGCCCTGGAACCATCTCAGCATGAATCCCTCCGGCTCTGCTTTACCTCCCACCTCCCTGTCTTCTGCTTCATCTCCTTCCTCCTCCTTCTTAACTACACCTTCTGCCACTTTCACCCATCCATCCGTTCTTCCATCAGCCCTCTTCCAGCCTCGTTCTTACCCTCAGAGGCCAAAGCTGCCATCAGATCAATACTCATTGAAGTTTCATGAGGACAGGCCATCCACTCCTGTTTCACAATAAAATGTGAACAGAAGGACACAGAAGAAAAGAAAAAGGGGGGGATGTGGCGTAGAGTGAAAACGCAAGAAAGCTATATAATGCAGAATTTTTGTATGTATTTACTTGAGAGTAATATTTTCTACAGCCATTTTTTTAGGAGTGGAAAATTAAAGAATGGAATAAGAAAAAAAAAAGGCAGGATGGAAAAGCTGAGGCTGGGTGGGTGAAAGGGCAGAAAGGGCAGAAAGGGCTGATGTAAAAGGAGAAGAACAAGTGGAAGGAGGAAGAGAAGAGGAGGTGTGGTGATATTGATTCTCTGGCCAGCCAGCAGTTCAATACCACTGAATTATTGCTTCATTCTTCCCTTATGAGATGAGATCTCTTTCTCTCAAGCTTTTCTCCTCTGTGACTTTCTACATGTTTGTCTACGTGTGCATTAACATGTGTGTATCTGCATGTGTGTGTCAATATATTACACCGGGGATCTACTTTTAAGTGGCTCGGTACTTCAAAATGTGGCTTTAAAGTCTGCTGTTTTATTTATCAGTTTCTGCTTCCTCCAGATTTGAAATTCTCATCGCCTTGTTCCGTGTTGGCAAACCCCGTGGTGAAATAATTAAGTAGCAATAATTCTTGTATGTTTTCTAATCTTTCGCTAAAAGTTTCTTGGCCATGTCTGAAATATAGATTTTCTATTGCAACTGGACTGATGATAAATCAACCACAGATACTGTATCTGTGTGCATGTATGAGTATTTATGGTGCTGGTGTGTGTGAGTGTGTGTAAGCATTTATTGATTGTCACTTTGTACCACTGTGTGTTTATAAGAGTGTGTGATGTCAAGAATGTTAATTTCTCCCATCAGGCTGATGGAGCAACCATACGGCACCATGTGCATGTGTGGATTTTGAGTGTGTGTATTTGGTAGACCATCTGTTTACCAGACTACTCACCATCTTTCCCTCATATTACTCTGATTTACAATTACTTTCAACTCCTGCCCCTGTTTGAAAGTCTGTGTGGTGAGTTGTGTAAGACATGACCCTGTGTGAGCGTGGCGCTGTGTGTGTTTACATTTGCAGGCTGTTTTTGCATGTGCACACTCATGTGCATGTTTAATTGCCCGGCCCTCACACCCAAAGGCAACCTCAGCGAAAGCATTGAAAAACCACACCAGCCAATCAGCTTTCAGCGCTGGGACCTTTCACCAGTGACTTCCAGAAACGAGTCAACCTCGAGGCGGGGTCGGGCCGCCGCAGTGACGGATCGCGTTTCCTGGGTCACATGTTGAAGCGATCAGCCAATCGCCAGGTCACCAGAGGTCAACCCCGCCCAATAGGAGAGGCAGTTATATGCCAGACGGACCAATTACCAGCCAGCTAGCCTCAGGGTCAGACCCAAGATGTTTCAACTGAAGCACAATGAAGCAGGCATTATGTTTGTCTGCACAAAGAAAGTCCCTCCCCCCAAAAAAAACACACTCTACTAACCACCAAGACCATGCTCACAAAAATCATTCACAGAAAACAATGTGTTTAATTTGAACTCGTCAGTCCAAAAGCAACATGCAGTCAAACTATACAGCTCTTCTATTCTTTGCAATATATCAGAGGCTGAAAAATCCCAAAGATCATATTGTGCACTTAGGCAGGGAATGATCTTAAATTCACTAGTGCGTACAATATACAATCAGTATAACTCTATATACATATTCTAGTGACTGAAAATTACACAGTTTCAGTTTTCTTTTCAGCAATGTCACATGATAACAATCCATTCTTTCATATTAAGAAAACTGAATGGGTTTACTGTAGTTTGACAGGAATTGTTATGTCATTATTTCTGAATGCAAGAGGTGACTTTGTGGTGTACCTTTTTCACACCTAGTTTTCCATATTCAACTTACTTGAATAAAACTCCATTTGTAGAAAAAAGTGAACCTCGTAGTTACGTGCAGAAAAAAATAATAGAGAACTGCAAAAAAAACAGTCAATATACAGTAAAACCAACTCACATTGTGGCCAGGAATGATGCAGCTGCTAACGCTTTGGTGTTAGGCTGGATTTAAAACCGACAGTTTACCTATGGTAAAGCTTCTTCATCTTCATTGATCAGGTTTAAATCAGGTTCATTACTGGCGTCACCACATGTCCACAGCCCTAGAGTATTTAAACAGCAGCTGCCCCTCTGCTAATGATGTCATCATTATGGCGTGATGGAGCCGCGTTGAGGGGCAGATCAATACTAGACATCACATCACCTCTCTCTACACATATATGTGTAGAAAAGACACATGCACACTTCCTGATTTTCCTCTCCCCTTTCCCTCTAGTACTTTGTTCAGATGGAAATTGCTTATCCAGAGTCAACTGTCCGGTCAGAAGTCACACACTCCTTCTCGACACTGAGTGCGTTTAACATTGTTTAATGTCTGTCTGTGTGTGTGTGTGTGTGTGTGTGTGTGTGTATGTGTGTGTTAGTAAACTGGGTGTTCTGGATGATTTCACTAATAGTTTCAGCATGGAGAGCTATAAAGAGCAGACTGTTTAATTGTAGCTGCTTTTAACGAGCCTCTGATTATGGCAGCATTGTAACGAGTGTGGGTCGTTAATGTTGACTAATCTGCAGTCATTAGTTCAACACTGTCTGGCCCGAATGTGAACTGCAACTCATAGACGCTATTCACAGACACATGCAGGCGCGGACCGTTCTTCTCTCTCACACACACTCACAGAAACAGACACTTCCAAAAATTCTTAAGAAGCAATACAGCAACTTTCATTATTTATAAGATGAAAAATATTGTCCATTTTGTGTGTGTGTTGGGGGGCATGCTCCGTGGACAAACCTGTGTATATGAACCTCCCCGGCGTGCCTTTGCAGAACTGTTTGGATTTGTAGGATAGAGTGACCTCTACGACCCCAGGGATGTGTCTGGGCGGCGTCTGGACCCGGATGGCGTGAGGTGTAATCAGCTAGGTGGACAATGAAAAGACATCCAGAGTAAGAACACAAACGCAACCCACAGGATGAAAATACTGTGGGATGTTGTACCTAAACTTAGGATCGCCAGGTTATGCCTATTCCACATATTCAGAAAAGCTCCGCAGTTGTCTTAGTGCTTTAACATTTAATCTAGTGGTTCCAATTTGAGTCATTCTGCAGAGTCAACCTTTGTGTTTGTAAAAAAAAAAAAAGTATAAGTTTATTCTGAAGTCGAGCTAAAAAAACACATTTGTAGAGTGAAGGCTTGTTGCAGATGCATCTGTTGATTTTTAGGACTGGCATTTACATTATGCAATTCCATCATTAATTACAATGATAATAAGCTTAAAATGAGAGACTTCGGTGTTAAATTGGTCCAAGTGTTGCTGATACACGTAGCAAGAAAATAGTACATGCACATAGCAGGGTATTTAAAACTGGTGTCTGATGTGGAAGTTTTTGTTTTTGTCTCTGTCCTGTGCCCACACAGGGGAATAGAACGTGTTCGTGGATCATTGTTGTCACAGCAGCCTTTCATATATTTACTAAAAGGCCGAAAACGGTGTGGGACACAGCACAGCTGCAGTAGTTTGAGTTGCTGGGATGTATAAGTACATATCTGGGTAGGTGCATGTCTGAACACAGTATTGAACAAGTGCAGAGATATACTTCAAGTTTATCACCAGGTCGTCAGGAGATCTGTGACCGCAACAAAGGATTTAACACATAGATTACAATGTTTCCCTGTAAGTCATCACGCTTCAGCATACTAAGCGAAGTCCTGTAAATATTAAAGAAATGACTGTTTGGACTAAGGTTGGGGAAAAAAATGTGTTGGCAGAATGGAGAGGTGGAGAAAAATAGAACTTGGCAAATGTGCAATCACTTTCCACTGACAGACTTGTCCAAGCTGTGTTTTCTTGCTACAGAATCAATAATCAGGTTGAGTGCAAATGAAACATTTGGCTGGCAAAAATCCATTCAAAGTCAGTCAAAGGAACGCCAAGAGAGCTGAGTCAGTTTGAACTGAACTGAACTGAGACTCTGTACACATGTTAGTGTGTGTAAGTGCAGCTCTCAACACTGTAAACAAACCCCTCAGCTCTTAACACACACGCACACGTGCACACATCCACGTATGCCAGTATGCACACGCACGCTCACGCACACACAAACCCTGTTGTTGTTGGAATGGAGCCACGGTCGCTCGGCACACACGGTGAGTGGAGTCAGAAGACAAATAAACATTCTGTGGAGGAGTGGGACTGCATGGGGAAAAGTATGATCGTGAGCCCTGTGTGTGTTTGCGTGTGTGTGTGTCTGAGCATTTAGCCGATGGCTATCAAAATGCACTGATTTGATCAGCATTCAGAGAGGAGGTAGAGGGAGTGGGGGTGAGGAAGGTGGAGAGGGATGGCGGTTGCTTGTTGGTGGGGACTCATTAGTGAGGTAAACATAATTTAGACAAACATTAGCACACATAAACATGAAAATGCACTTGATCACACACAGTTAAGAGCCTGACCGTGAAGGAAAGTATGTTTTCATATTGAATTACATCCAACAGACCGAGGGCTAAGGCACATAGTTGAGGGGTTGAAACAACATTGAGACAGAATGAGGACTGCTGGCGGACTGACCTCGCTCCACACCAGCATGGTACCGAAGATAACTTGGAGCCCGTCAAAGAAGTTGTCCCCTATGATGATGACGGTAGCGCCCCCTGTAGTCCACCCCTCGCTGGGACTGATGGCTTTAATGCAGGGAGCTGCTCCTGGACCAATCGCAGGGGGACAGATTACGGCCATGAGGGAAGAAAGCATGGATGAAACAATTATTATCCCATTTTTGGCATTTGTGCTGCATCTCAGTGAAATAGCGACTATTCACCTTGAAAATGGGAAATTTCACTCAGCAAGTCAGGGATACAGGAAAACGTTGTTTAAGTTTTGTCAGTGCAGTGTTGGCGGACCTTGACTGTGCTCGAAATGATCACATCACACACGCAGCAGGCAATGACCGCACGCAGATTAAAAAACTGAGACCTTTCCATTTCGTTCTGCCAGACGATTTTTTTTTTTTCTAATTGTAAATTTTTCTACTGAGAGAAGAAAAATAGATGACATGAAATAAAAGTTTTGGTCTTGAATTACTGTTTAGCTGCTTTTATAAGCCATTATAAGCCATTTTTATTCTGCTTCTGAGTACATAAAAGGAATTGAATAAATAAAAACAATATTACTAGATTATTGCTTTCATTATGGTTTAGAAACGTATTTTTGATTTTTTTATCACAAGGTTTGACTGATATCAGATTAGGACAGATGTAACCATGTTTAAAAAAAGATAACGCACACAGATGGCTTAGCAGACATCACATTAATTTATACTGAATGGATAAAGTCAGCTTATGTCACTTCAGTACAGAATATTGAAAGTTCAAGCCCGTGTGAGCCAGTTCCATATCAGAGCCTGTCTGTCAAAGAGCAGCTTTCACTGTAATGCAAGTGTGCGATTGTCAGCATTTAGCTGAATTACCACATCTTTCAGTCTGGGTTTGTTTATGAGAAAAAAGTATAATGATATTAGTCATAGCAACCAATACACACACCCAGAGAGCACCACGCCACGCATTGTGTGTGTAGTGAGTTGGATTAGCCAGATGGAGGGGCAGGAATTACCTGATAGGATTAAACCATCAGCCATCTGGTGGCCATGCTGCTCATACACATTCATGCACACACACACACAAAGTCACGCACACTCCTGTGTTACCGTGCTCTAGGTAAGATGGTGTTCCCTCCACAGGGTCAAGTCTACGAGCCCGCCGCCCGTGTTTGGAGTTGTTGTGGACAAACATGTTGTCTGAGACGGACAAGACGTGACCCTCCACGCTCACCGTAGTCGATACAACAACCTGGAGAAAAGGGACGGGGACGATTGGTAAAAAGGAGATGAAAAATAAAGGAAGTCAGGGGAGACAGGATGGTAAATTGGTTTTGAGTACGTGGAAGAGGAAGAAGTAAAGCAGAGGCAAAGTGAAAGAAGAGAAATGAGAGGAGTTATAACCCAGGGGTTGAGAAATCATTGCGAGGAGCCAAAACCATGAAACTGTGAAAAGCTCTTTCAGTGTAACCAGTTATCACTGCTATTAATATCACCTTCAACATACACTAAGATTTCAAACTATATGGTTGGTGTGAATGTGTGTGTGCTTTCCTCCGTTCAACAGTTCCTGATGGGTCCAGCCCTTAATTATCTCCCAGGGAAACAGAGCTGTCTTTTTCTGGTTCCAATACAATAGAGCTACACAATTAGCAGCACATTTATGGTCACACACTCTCGACCACATGACTCTGTCCTGTCTCTGTCTCACACACACACTCACACACACACACGTACAGATACACACACACACACACACACACACAAAGAATGCTATTGCAGTAGAAATACACACATATCGTCTACACACTCTCTCTCGCACGTTTCATGGTAATAAATCTATCAGTATCTTCTGGTTCTCCCATATCTCCACTCAGGCACAAGTGGTGTCTTCCTGATTGTGTTCCAGCCATGGAGATAAGGAAATAATAATGTCCGCACAGCCTTAAACCCTTAGCTCCATTTTTTCCTTTTTTTTTCTTTCTTTTTCTTTCATTCTTTCGCTCTGCTTTTGTGTATGTTTACATTCTGACAAGTGGAGGTCAAGATCTCGTGTTTCCTGTAAAGGTGCTGATAGCTTATTTACTTACACTGAAGCCCATTCATACACACACATGCATATTACTATGTTTTCGTGTTGCAATAACTATAAACCGATGTGGCCTATTATGTGTTATGTCTACAGAAAAAAGAGGAGAGGAAGAAGCAAAAACAGACACAGAGACAGATCAACTCAGTGAGAAAGGGAAAGAGAAAAAAATCTGGCAGTTTTTACCTGGAACCTCCTCATGTCCCGTGGGTTTCCTGCATTCTTCAAACAGTTCTGGTTGCACTTGAGGAAAAACTTGAGGAAAAATCTGATAGAGAAGAGACACAGAAGCGAAAGATATACGTTGTGATAACAGTTAGTAGGTAACAACAACAACAAAAGGTTGTCTATCATCTCATTGAAAATTAGTTCAAGACGAACACTCAATGGAAAGCACAGACAGGTCCATAAAACAAAGACACACACATTAACAATTCATACTTTAATTTCAAATCCAAGTGAGATTTACTTGTCGATAAGAGGAGAACCTTTTTAAATTCTTAAATCCACAACAGCTTCTTTGAAATGCCATTTAAAGGCAATTGCAGGATTGTTTAAGAAAGAACAGATAAAAAATATATGATTTTATTTGTTTAAAAGGTATTTGTTTAAATTTGCAGCTTGACTTCTTTGCTGCAAATATAAACCTGAGTGTACGTTCAAATCTATATTGCACACATTTTTCAACCAAAGTATCGGTTGATCCTCGTAAGGCTTTGCTCAAATTAATTTATCCCAACCTGTAGACAACTTGGTAATATTCTCTTTAGCTGTATTGTAGCTGTGCATGGGTAAACTAAAGTGCTTATTCCATCTCAGAGGCCATTTTCAAAAAGACAAGATTTCATGAAATGACATGACATAGTCTTTTTTTTTTTTGCAAGAGTGATTTTTCAATCTCAATATGAATCATTAAAGGCTAACTATGTTGACATTAGGTGTTTAAAGCAGGACCATATGTCATGAATCTATATTACAGAATAAATCAGACATGCAGATGGCCATGAATGGCAAACAAAGCCATGCAGGTTGTGTGTTGGTGTGAGCCAGCTGGCCAACCTGGCAGAATCTACAAACCACATTCAGAAAAAAACAGAAACAAAACACAAACACATGTTCATCTTTGTGTAACCCACTACTGGGTATGTACACGTCAATGTTGGACCAGATTC